ATTTCGTGCTTGACGTCTGTCGCTCAATTGCATTCACACTTTCAGTCTTCTCTGGCATTGCGTTCCCCGAGCCATCACCAGCGCTTTGTATCGGGCCTGACCGAACCACGTTTGAAATAAGCCGCTGCTCCTCGGGATCTAGTTGTTCTCGTCAACCTCTACTATGCCATTGCCAAGAATTCTAAAAATCATCAGCTTAGCGACGAACGATCGTGCTATACCCTAAACGCATGGCTGAGCTTGGCCTTATTGCCTCGGTCATCCAGGTCGCCGATGTTGGCATTCGGCTCAGCGTCACGCTCTACAAATTTGGCCAGACCGTCGTCAGCGCTGATGACTCAATTGTCTTCATCTCAAAAGACATCTCCCACACATGCTCCATTCTCAAAACGATAGGACAGAATCTCGAGAAAGATCGCGAAGCACGACTGTACTCACAAGATGCCATGAACACGGCGGAGACCATTGTCAAAGAGTGTCTCGAGATTTTCCACGAAATGGACAGGGCTCTCTTGAAGAAGATTAAAAGAATCGGATTGGATGGCAGCTCTAGCCGAGCTGCTGTTGTCGCGCTTGAAAGACTGAGATGGCCCTTCCTGAGACCGAAAATAATGCTCCTGTGGAGCAATCTCGACAAGTTAAAGTCTTCGTTAGACTTACTGTTGAACGTCTTTATCTATGCTAGACATCTGACCGAGCGGTGAGCTTCCATATCCGATTCCTATCTCGATCAAACGGCCTTGTTGTCCATTTCGCTTTGCTGACTGTCAGTGCAGAACGGAGGAACCCTCGGTCGTCAATAACCAGCGCCGCCTAATCGAACACCTTCTTCACACAACTACAGAACAAACACGCAAATATGAGTCCTTGAAAGCGGCAATGGACCGCCAGGAGAACCTTGATATCGCCCACGATTCCACCCATGATATTATACCGGCAACACCGGATCTGGATGCAGCTATACCCACCGAATTGCCCAACAAGAGCACGACCATTAAGCTGTTGGAGGATACCGGGCTGGATCCTGGGACTGCAAGTCTGGAGAATTACTTCACTCTCATAGAACACCTGATGACAGAGGTTGAAGCCGAGGAATACAACATTGGCCATGATATGAGGCGTCGCATAAGAGACGATGTCATCCATACCCACAAGCGTGAGACACGGCTTCTTAGAGCAGTTCATGGACATACCGCGCTTAAAGAGAAGATGCGAGAGGAGTCTTGGATACTAGCAGAGATGGTCGAAGAAAAGGTAGAAGAAGGAGAACATTCGCAAATAGAACACCGGGTGGAAAGCTCGTCTGGAGCTAAATTCGCTCGAATCGGAGACAGTAGCCCCCAAATTCTCGGTTCCAATCCGAGTCACTCGCCCCAAGAGGGCGTAACCCGAAAGCAGGTAAAGGGCTATGAAGGGCCGCCTGAGAATATCCGCATGACCACTATGGATCGAGTCTATGCTTCTACGATCAATCCTGTAAAGGAATTTTTCCTCAATAACCGAGAAGACTCGTGGAACCCCCTCGACTTAGGCTCCGAAGCTCCAATGGTTGAAAGCCCTAGAGCGGCCGAGGAAAATGGCTGGGTGCCATTCTGTATATCTGGACCCTCAAGGCTCCTCTACCGTAGGATCCTTCCATTGAATCCCCTGAAACCGTATATACAGAACGAGCATATGCCACAATGGCCTTTCTTGCGATCTGGAACATCGATGCTAGTCACTGAGAAATCTCACATTGTGGAAAGTATAGCATCGTCACAAGATCTTGCCGCCCTTACAGATTCAACAGATACGGACACCTTCGTCAGTGCGAGGTCCGTGATTGGCGAACGAGCCTTGGACTCCAATTCTTTTTGCCCGGTAGAGGATGAGAAGGATGGGCCTCTGGTGGTATTTGGCGATCAGGAGCATGGCGATTTTAGGGGGAAAGACGGCGGGCGATTCGCAGTTGATCCCTCGCTCGATGGGCTGCTGGCAGCTTGGGTTAATGGGATATAGTGGACAGCGATCGGGGAAACTGACGTTGGCAGTCTTCCGCTCAGGGATACAGCAAGCAATGACAGCAGCCATTTTCAGTAAGCCACCAGGTCATGGCTGGAATGTGGGAGCATGGACGGTACCTATCTATGTGCCGAACCCTACAGCACAACCCCTCCAGATGAGATTGGCCACCGTTTCATTTGGGCGCTTCACTGCTTTTTGACGAGGCTGAAAGCACATCGCCAGAGTTTAATTGGATGATGGCTGCCGCCTCAGCATGCATGTACTGCAATCATCAAGATTCACAGCTGAAACAGAATCTGCGGCGGCAGACAATGACATTATAAGACCATGAGCACATTGACCAAGCTCCTCCCACAGACGTCCAACCCTCGCCATGAATGAGACCACCTTTCCCCACCGACGTCGAACTTACCCAGACAATCCACTCTGATCCTCCTCAGCCCCCTCCTCCCCCGGCTTCCCCGAGCCCAACCACACTACTCCCCCGATCAAACCGTCGAACCCAACCTCATCCCTCGCAACCCCAGCGCACAAGCCTCCCTCCGCTGTCAAAATCGTGCTAGCGGCCTCACAACGGGCCTCTGCTTCTCGCACCTCCGTCACACCCGCACCTGCACCGTCATGACCTGAACTGACCCCAGTCGCTTCCAGCAATGTCCCCAAACCCTCGGGACCGATCGTGGCTTTCGGCGTAGTAACACCCAGTGGTGTTGTTCGGCGGGTCCGAACACGATTAGTTAGTGTATTGATGGCGGTGTGTGGGTGTTTTGTCCGGATAAGAATAATATGGGTGCGGTCATGGGGGGGACGGGGTTTGTGGGTGGGTTTCAGCTTGAGGCTGGGGGGTTGTTGCGGACGAGTACGGGTATAGCGGCCTTCAGCGCTACGTCTACGCCTGTCGTTGTTTCTATGTCCATGCCTATCGCGGTCTTACGCGACCTAGAACAGCCTCGAGGCTCACGAGCTCAACAGGATCACACTCATGAAGAAGCGTCTCAGGTCGCTTATGACATTTTGGTTGATGCGCCTATCGGCCTGAACAATTGTTCGGTATATAGTCGCGTCTTCCCTCCGAGAGATCGAAATTGCCGACATTCTCAGTAAGCGTCCCGCCCCGTCAAGGCAGCGATTGTATATAGGCTCGTCCCTGCATTGCAGTCTGTCACGCTGCGCTTTCCCATTCCGGTAATCGAGTCATCCTTTCAAGCAAAGTCTCTGTCCAACAGCATCCAGAACCAAAGCAACCACCGAGCCATCATGCGGCCCCATTGTCAGCTTGTCGCCCTCGTCGCCCTGATTCTGCCCTCGGCTAAGCGCTTCTCCTCGCCAACCCAACTCCGTTGTCGAATGTGACATCGTAACAACAGGTCTCTCACCCTCTTGCTGGGATGAACTCAATATGAATGCCTGGTTCCAGGAGTGGCTGGCGAGCACGTCGCCCAACGCGACGAGCGGTGCTGCTGTCAGGTGTCGAGACCAGGAGTCGTGGTCTGTATGCTTTCTGCGGCTGAGCCTAGGCGTCGCGGGACGCGATTGTTCCACGATCAATACAAGCGGGAAGAACTCGACATGCCCGATGCCAAAATTGGGCGATCCGCCACACAGCCCGCAGCTCTTCTATGGAGTATGGAACATATACAATTCGCCCCTTTCTCCACCGCGACTATTAACGCAGCACCGCATCACCAATTCATGTCCCAGAACCCGCTAACATCCTCTCCGACAAGCCATCAACACCTACACAACCACCCTCTCCACCGCCCTCCGAACCCTCTCCCAAACCAACCCCACAGCCCTAGCCACAGCCGCCACCACCTCCGCGAACGACACCTCCCGCTTCGCCAACCCCACCCAAACCCTCTCCGTCGACGTCCCCCTCCGCGCTCTGCTCGAGAGGGAAACCTACGGCTTCGCCCTCCCCGCTACCCCCAACGCCGGCTTGCTCACGTTTCTGGAAACCTACCCCGCGGCGCAGACGTACGGGTCGTTTACGAGCGTGTCGGAGTTGCTGGTGCTCTTGCTGCAGAGGTTGGGTCAGGTGTCATGAGTGACGTGTCGAGTTTTCTGACGGTGGCGGAGCGAGGGGCGTTTTCGACGGGCGAGGCGGTGGGTGGGGCGGGGTTGGTGGAGGCGTTGGGGACGTAGGCGTGGGGTGGGGTTGTGTGCGTTGCGGACGGTTGAGATGGAGATTCTCATGGGGACAGATTTGAATACATCTGTTCGACGATTGGGGAGGGGTCGATATCCGCAGCTCCGGGTCTGGAAGCGTCTGTGTATGTTGTACGGAGGGTTTGGATCGCCCACGTGGACATTCTTCCTGGTGTCGCTGGGAGATTTCGGAGTAAGGGTAGAAGCCTTCTATTCGTTGCTGCCACGGCCGATGCCTTGTCCCCAGTACGTTTGTCAAAATGGGCTCTCTCAGCAACATGTACTTCTCTAGCGAGTCCCAAAGCTATCTCTCAGACCAGACATCAACCTGTGACATCGGACACGTCGCGGTATGAACACATGGCTCTCTAAGACCAAATATCGAATCTCCGTATCGAATCCGTGTTCTCCCCTTACAACCATACATTCGGAGGCGCGAGACGGATTCAGAGAAATTCCAGCGTAGCACAATCCTTCACGGTTTCTGGTGACGAGCAAAAAATCCCAGCTGGCCGTTGACCGCGAGCCAGTATCCGATCCAGAACAACATTCTGCTCTCCAAAGATAGCATTGTCCTTGCCTTTTCCCGACCTAGAGCGTCTCGGAGGCCGCTGTGACCCGGTCTTAATATCCCAGCTCTGCACCGTCGTGCAAGATGTATGACCCATTGACTTCGTAAGTACTGCTGGAGACGGCATGTCGGAGTGTCCCACCTAGCTGCCGAGGTCTTCAAAACGCAGAGAAGGTGCCATGCGCCGTGGTCGGTCGGAGGGTAGAGTCTCGTGAGGGCAGGTTTGAAGTTTTTCTTCAAGGCCAACGTGTCGGGTTCGAAGGCAGACGGTGACGCGTCCGCGGTGGCGTCGATTGGGTAGTCAGGGAGCTCTATCGCAGTAGCAGTAAGCAGTCTCTCATCGTCGTCCGTCGGTCGGTCGGATGTGGGTTCCAGCTGGGTTCTCGGTCGGCAGAACATTTTTTGTATCGTTGTTGGATGTGCACGCGCCTGTTGTGAAGATGCATGCTTGGGGTTTGTGTATTTATTAAAATGGTTTCGGAGCAACGGATGATGGAGCCGAGGCGGGTAGATGTCTGGGCCCAACTATGCAAATTCCATGTACCAAATTTCGACCTATTGGCCAATGAAACATGTTAGTTTGTGGGAGTCAACAACTCACCGCTTTTCCCCTAGTAACAAATTTAATTCTTTTCTAGACAATTCGTTCACCGGGCAAGGAAACAAAAGAAGAGTGTCAATGAACTGCAAATGAAGCGGTGCAGCAGGGCGCTTGGATGTGGATCGGTAGACATCATTATCGCTATGTAGGAACCTATACCGATAGCTTCGGCGAGACGGAGCGTCGAAGACCCGATTTGTCCAAAGACTTCGAGACAGGTGAGAATCGGTCTAAGTCTAGGCATGGTTTTATACCCAGCTGCGTCGGAAGCGCTGCGTGTGCTTGAGTCAGGGGTACCAATGGACTGAACATCTTAGAAAACACCAGGAGCTACGCAAGTGCGTCTCCACAAGATGGCCAGCTCAATATACTTATGGCGGCGTGCCGAAATGAGATGCTATCTCTCATGACACCTCAAGAGCTCAGCAGTAATGGAGAGGTTCGATGATAAATATATCAAGGCTCTTCCACATCATTGGGATGACAATGTCACTACCATGTTCCTAGCCAAGTACGATACTCGTCTAGGACTCAATATTCCACTTCTCGGCTAACACGACTCAAGCTCCGCACTGTGCAACCCAAATGGGATCTTCTGCCGACTCTCCTGTACCCAAGAATCCCGTCACACAGACGTTACACCTGTGTTTTCCTTCACTGTCCTCCACCCCTTTCATCAAGTGAATCTTCGTCTTGTGTCACACCGGTCGCATACAATGCCAGTCTCGTTAGCAATGTATCGGTTGATAGGATCAGCCAGGTTGCCACACAGCCACTTATTTGCAGGCGCTAGGTAAGTCCACAGTGTCTCCACAGTATCGCACTTCTGAAATGTAACCACTCCGCACCAAAGGGACTAGCAGAACAGCAATTACAAACGGATAGCGAATCTACCGTTCAAGATATTCCCAAAATCGTTCACTTGCGCTAAATGGTCCTAGTCTTGCGGGTTTCTAAATGGCACGTAATAGGTTCTTTCTTCCTTAGGGTCCTGGCTTTTTACATGATTTCTAACGTGTTGCTGGGAGCTATATTCGAGAGCATCAATAGTCTTCCCTGACTTGTCGGAATTTGGAAGTCTAGGGATGTGCTGTAGTCTTCCGAAGGACAAGGTCTCGTGCGGGCAGAGCTGAAGGCATCTCTTTGGAGGAGACGATGAGGGAAAAGCCTTGTTCTCTGCGACCAGTGCTTGAGCGTAGTTGAATGTGCGAACGGATGGAGAAAGTCGATTATGAAGCCGGCGTACTAGGAGGACTTGGCACGGGACCCAGTGCCACAAAGTAAGAGGCTGCGTGGATGTCCCGTGATGGGCGATGGTATATGGCGTTTGAGCAAGATTGAGGCCTCTTCCCGTAATGACTAGATTGTAGGATAATTCGCAAGTATCCTTGTATTGTGGTCGATAACTTTTCCTTGCAAGGCGCCCTGCAACGCATGTTGCTATTTCGCCACCAATGTGCCCGGCTTCAGCCAAAACGAGGCTCCTAAACCTCGACCCGATTCCGAGAACTTATACTTCTCAATATTCCTCACCGCTGTCAGAGCTTTGATCCTGGGCAGGATCGTACTCTTCAGCCAAAAACTCCAACTCAACCAATTCAGCTTCCGGCGGTGCATCCCCGTCCGTGGAAATTTTCGGTTTGCCACCGCGGCGAAGCTGTTGGAGGGGCAGAGACCCAAAGATCAAAGATCCGATGCCCAAAATGACGCCAACTGCCAAGACGACCAGCAGAGCTCTTAAGAACCACTTGAGCGCTATGGCCAGCCAGTGTAGGAACGCGGCAAAGAACGAGGCGTTCTCCACCATTGGGGCACCAAGAGAGCTCCAGAATGGAGCCTCATTGCCAGGTACTACAGAAGGGAGAGCTGGTGAGGCCATGACTTGGGGAATCTGCTCTGGTAAGATATAGTGGACTGGATCTATTGAAGAGCGTTGGGCAGGTGGCGTCGTATAGCTGACGGGAAGTATGGCGTAAGTAGTCTTGCGACGGGTCACGTGAGCGTCAATAATAATCGCCAGGATTGAGAACAGCCGCTTTGTTGTGTGACATTAAGTACTCTTCGAAAGAGATAGCATTTCCTTCTTAGAATCTCTCAAGATGTTATTCGAAAAAATAATAGAGATTGATTGATCATAAGGTGAAGAATGACTCCGCCATCCAAGCGTGTCCTTTGTTTCTATCAATTTCTACGAACACCATCATGAAGCCCATCATTTCTCCTATTCTCGACAGTTCTTTTAAGCGTCGCCAACCCGACGTACCCATTAGAACAGAAAATAATATCAAGCCAAAGCCTCCTCCTGCCGCTAAGACTGATCGTCTTGTCCTGTCTTATCGGCACTAAAACATTGGAAGCTCGCCGCAAAAGAAGAGAAAAGGGTCGACGCAATCTCTACTTGAGCTATGTATCTTACACAGCGTCGCGTCGAGCTTTTACGAACTTATGGTCGGCCTGCTCTGGTATCCCTAAAAGCCTGGCGTTCCATCCTCTTTTCTCTTTCTTGTCGGTAGAATTCTTTTAGGTACTCTTGTTTCCTGGCAAATCTCTGCGCTCCCTTGGGATCAAGGAGTATTCCCCGAATCCCCTCGGCATATTCGATCCTATCATCTACCGTCCACGGTGCATCCATATTTCACGGCTGAGAAAGATCGCCGACAAAGACTTCGACGTTCGTCAATGGCAGTATCGCCATTTTGTGCACAAAGTCCAGACGTCGAGTCTGAAATAAGCCGAGTTCATTCCCCCGAGCTTTCGCCTCTTGAAAGAGCGTGGCATACATTGAATGATTGATCTGCAGGCGCAGACTCCTCAGTCCAGCCAAGGATCTGATGAGCGTCATCCCAAGGACATGGTTCCAAGGTTTGTCTTCCCCCCAGACCCAGTCCATCTGCAACCGCAGCCTTCTCAACGACTGCTTTTGGCGCGTCGTTTGTGCGTCCATGAAACGATCCAAGCTGGTGGCCGCATCGTTGAAAGAAAAGGTATTCGTCGACCAAAGTATATTGTTCGCGTCGTTGTAGATCTGCCGACAGACTCTCAGCGCGGTCAGGTGCATTGACTCGTGATCCGATCGACGGTGGTTAGCGCCAATCTTATACGCCGGCTCGACGTCACAGCGATGATGCGGTTGTCGCCAGACGGTTTCCTCGTCGCCATTGATATTAACCCATGTGAAGTCTTCGACCATTTCATTCTCAGGGTACTCATGTTGACACACAACATGTCTCCAGGATTGCCTTTTCTCATGCGGGATTTCTGCCGATATACTCGAGGTGGATGAGCGGGTCTCCTAGCACTCCTGCCCATACTTCGTCGCGAATCTCGAGCCGTAATCGTAACAGGGGCGAGCATGACGCTTTTCGCGCATTACTGTCATTTGGAAAGTTAGCACCAGCAATGGCTGCAAGCGATGCCTGGAGGCTGCCTCATACATTGCTTAGGTAGCTGCATCCTTGGGCACGTTGAAAGGGACTCTTTTCCTGGCCTTGCCAACCGCCTTTTCTTCCTCACTCTTTCGCTTCGTCATTGTTGCTGACATTGATTGAAGTGAGGACGTGTCGCGTCTAAGGATTTAGATCACGCGGTAGTCTGCTGGTGCTAACTCAACCTGATTAGATTTAATCAACAAGCGACCCCGGACGAAGTACCTAACGTAATCGTGTACGGGCGAGGTCTGACATATTTTCCCCAAAGTTTTTCCGTCCCGTCACGTAAGAGAGTCAGAATACTGAGACTAGCCGTGATTTTGTTTTCGCTCTTGTTTTTCCACATCTCCGTTTTATGGAAAGCATCTTGTCTCTTGTACTCGTGTATTCTTGGAGTAGACTTTTATGTATACTTTGACCCCAAGAGAAAGACCCTCTGTATGCGAGGGTTTTTACTTCTGGAGAATTGTACTAGAATACTTGCAAACTATCGCATCAAAGGTCACGCTAGTTGATGCCTGAATTAGATGCCCTTAATTGATGGTGAAAACAAACAATCCGTACAATCAAGCAAGAAACATCCTCTACAGGGTGGTGAGATTCCGAGGTTTGGCTTGGTCTTTGCGGCATCCACAGGCTACCTCGAGGGCTTCCAACTCCCTCTTAACACCAGGATCCCTTCCAAACCCTCTAATTTCAAGATGCTTCAACTCTGGCAGGTTCTGAACGGCTTCCTTTAGAACGTCATACAGAACCCGTTCCACTGTAGGATGAGGCGTCCATAAGGTGTGGTACGGTTCCCGGTCGTTAACCACCAAGCGCATATTGAGATCACGAAGACCCGGAACGTGCATGTACAGTAACTGCATCACGACTTTCATAACCTGGCCGGTCTTTGGGCCGTATCTACCTCCTTCAGTGGTCGGATCCCCAAGCAAAAATCGAAGTGTCGTGAGGCGAGCCGCGTTTTCTTTCCCGATCATGTGGAGGAAACGAGCGAACATAGAAGCCTGTATCTCAAAGAAAAGTGTGTGCCAGGCCTCGTCACGGTACCCAAAGAGCCATAGACACTGGCTCCGGAGCCACAACTCCTCAGCGGGTCCTGCTCTCGTGAATCCTGCTGTTCTAAATTGGTCTGGAATTGGGAAGTAGAACACATTTTTGCTGTAGAGAATCGGTGCTGCTTCATCGTGTATTCCTTTGCAGGTTCGCAGAATTGCAGGTGCAAGTCCAAGTTCGGGATACCCGCGGCAGTATTGGTCCCCAGGGCAGTAGTTTGTTTTTGTCCCTGTCACCTCGGACATGTGCTTGAAGTTTTGGCAGAGCCTGGGCCGTTTCTTCGTACTAATATCTATGTTCTGAAAAATTCGATCGTCATACGGCCATTTGCGTGCGACCAGAAGATGGTAGTATATTTCTATCCGTATCTCTGTCAGAGGGTATTAGCCTCTGTTGATGAGATTGCAAGGTCCGGGGGTGATTTACCCGTGGGAAGACCCAGGAATCCTTTAATGGGACAATCACTTTCGAGTCTCTGATCGATCGTCATATCGAAGATAAGCAAGAAGTTGAGATTCCAATGCTATTCCGTATGTGTAACAGACTTTTTTTGCCTGGGTTTAGTGTCAAGATATATGTACAATAACTCGTAACGCCAAGAGCTACTAAGCCTAATTGGGAACGACCTCGAAACTTCTCAGTTGCAAGGGAGCAGTCTTGTACCCTTGTCGATGATTTTCCAGATCTTTGCTCAAGACGCTGAGCTGGAATTCCTGATCTTTTTGGCTTAGCTTCTGTCTTAAGGCTCTCTTGCACTTGTCCCAAACGGACCTGGCGAGAGCGCAAGGACAACAGTCGCAATTGAAGCCAGGAGATAGGAAGAGGAAGTGGGGAGACAAAGCCTCTCCGCTTGGTGCTTCTGATTTCAGGACAGGTAAGGATCATTTCCGCCCGCCAGGGACGCTAGAGAGAAGACCAGTATGACTGAGGAGCAGAAAACAAAAAAGCCGACTGTAACGTGAAAGGCGTAGATCAATCTCGGTTTCATGTTAGCTGATGACAGATACGCAGCAGTAAGCAGACTTGAATCGTGATGTTATGCAGTGTCATCAGCGTTCACCTGGAGTGACAATCCAAGCGCCCTCGAGTCCGGCCTAGCAGCTACGCAAAGGCTAGATCTAGAAAGAACAGCTCAAAGCCATGGCTGTAGGCACTACGAGTACATAGAGGACGAGCCGCGGCAAACATGGAAGGGATCCAGATACTTCATACGCTGCACTCAACGTTGGCCGTGGCGCATGTCGGAAGATCGCGTGAACACTCCCCTTCATGCGACCATTTTTCGATAGCCAGACCCGGTCTGCTCTCGTTTTCTTGGTGGTTTTCTGTCATCTAGCGTCCTCTTTATGTATTCAGCTCTCTTACTCCTCTGTGCCTTTGGCAACCGGGGAGTCGCATCGTTGACCTTGGACATTCCCCAAGTTCTCACTCCGCCGACAAACTCTTCGCCCGTTGTTTGGCTGTCTAACGCATCGAATCCAACGCCGTCCACGCTTGAAAATCTGGCTCAGTCCTTTCCAGCTTTGACGTCCTTGTCTTATGAATGCGACAAGGAAAACTTCGGACAACCAACCTTCGACAGCTGCATGGACGCCTATAGACAGTTGCCGGCGCTCGTAGTTACGGGGATCGCGAGACCCAACAAGCCTACGATTTCCCCCTGCCTCTTAGATACGCAAGCGGTATGTGGTGGCCCGAGGTCAATTCTCAGAGCGTGGCTCACGCTAACGACGTGGCAGCCGATGGGACTTGTTTCATCGAAGTCTTTCCTACAATTGAAGGCACATCTGATCTCTTGAAGCCACTGAACTTGAAACAGGCGGTCCGATACCTCATTCACAAGTGCGTAGAGGGTGGAAACCCCGAGGGGGGGATTGCGGAGAAGCTGGGTAAGTGTACTCGAGGCACCAAGGATGAACCACTGTGACCAGCTCTCCAGGACAGGCAAACCGTCTCTCGGTATTCGTCCAGCGGTTCGAACCGAATGTTGACTGCTTCAACGACGAAGGCAAACCTCCCTTCAACCAACAATGCCTGCTCGACTTAAGCTATATGCCCGTCTCAGATACTGAGCAAGTCTTTGGAAGAAGAACACTCCCAACATCGATGTCGCTCTTCCCGTTCGATTTGCAGATTGTAAGCGTTCCTTCTGTGCTGTCCTTTACAATGCGCTGATCCAACCAACAGCAAGCGCTCAATGCGTAATAGACGTGATAATAGACGGACCGCCGGTGAGAGCCATTTGGTATGACATTTGGGGCTCTGGTGTGATGGTTGTGGCTATGTGTGCAAGATTTGGAAGGTCTGGCGTTTCGTCCGCTACAGGTATGAAACATTATCTGCTGTCGAGTGGTGCATACTGAACGTCAGTCGCAGCTGGCGAGTCAGAGCTTGCGATCAGAGTCGTGTATAATGCCGCTGGAACTCTGCTGGAGGCTATGACATAGTTTGACGTGTGAGGCGTCTTTCTATAACACGAAAAAGTCATAGCTTTCGTATGCTTTGGCTCTTGGACAATCGATCTTATGAAACACGTACTGGAAGCATTTCTTCAACTGATCATTTTAAATTAGACATATCAAAGGCTGGGCATAGTGCAGCGAGATATAGAACACAATGGGAAAGGAATTGAAAACGCAAAATTTACATCTTTCCACGATTTTCTTTCCACGCTCCAAGCACCCCATCCTATACCTCAGTGTCTTAGTACGCTACATTATAGTCATTAAAGCAGAGCAGACCAACAATTTACTCTAGACTAGTATTCACCTCACCCTGCGCTGATCTACTTGTAGGGTAGAAACGGCTATTCGTCCCCGCGCCGCGGAAAAGACGCCTCCCCATTGCTCGAGTGGCGCCTCCATCGTCAGCGCCTCGCGCCGGGGCCTTTGACACCTGACGCTCGGGTCGGGACAGCGGGAGATTACATTCGATAGAATTCCAGCGAATGACAGAGATCCATTTGGCCTGCCATACGGCCATCCTATGATTAGGATACTTGAAGGCTAAGAGACGAAGGTGGGTGCTCGTGAGAGGAGTCCGTATCGTCGCGTTGCGATGGAGTTAGGCACAGTGATCGAAGTGACGGTGACGTTGTTACTACGCACAGGACTCGATGGCTTTGTTCTTAGGGATGATGCATGAGGACTTTCCCGAGCTGACGCCAAATATGACAGGTATGATTGAGTAAACCACAAGGAATAGCAGAGGCCGAGATAGAAAGCCGAAAACTTTGTTTGAAGATCTGGTGACGAACAAGTGCCCCCGTAGCTCTTCCCCGATGGGAGAAAAGGTGCGGCTACATTAGATGACGCGATAGCAGGAGGGGATACGCGGCGGACAACGCGATATGCGGAACATCATGCTGAAGGGGTCGAATCTATCCCTGAATCTTGAGAACGCGGGTTGGAGAAGTAGCGGCGGACCCTTCGATGACGGGATGAACGTTAGCAATCGTTAATCCAAAGCGTGACAAAGATCAAGAAGGCAAAGGAGGTAGAGGATGATACCTTTGTTCTTGACTGGGCGGCAAGATCAGCTCCTGTAACATACCCGCGATTCGCGAGAGGGGAAGCGCCGAAACGGACGGACAGACCGGACCTTTATCTCTCAAAGCCTCTGAACTTCAATATAGTCTACCCATTCATTCGCACCTTCGTTGGCGATTTCTTTACTAGAAAACAATCCCGCTTGTATAAGCTATCACAATTAGCCATGACTGCGATCCTTCAAACTTTCGCTTGTTTCTTTTCCCTTTCGATCGCCTTCGCGCTGCCATCTAACCTGGTAAGGCTACCTCTAGCCAAACGAGACGTCGAAAGCATTCCATCAGAAGTCAACACAACAATACGAAACCCTCTCACAGCACAGCCTGTCGCATGTCTCGATACCCGCCGGCTACCAACGCTGGTCCCATCAGATTGCGGCTACGTCCTCAACTTCATTATCCTCCAGGAGCCCAACGTCTTTGCAAAGCGCGTTTTCATTCGCAACTCATATCAGACCGAAGCCAGGGGATACGCTCGATCTCGATGGCAGTACGGCAGTTGCGAAGTTTCAGTCTACGGTCCTCCAGGTGCCAGGCAGCTGCTCACTTTCCTCGAGGTCGCTTTTACGGCGGACAAAATCGTTCGTGAGTGTGTCACTGGTTTTGTGGATCCGATAGGGGGCGTGAGTCTTGTAGGCGATGCGAGCGAAGCGTTTTATGTTTATCTTCGGGGTTATGTGGAGCCTGAAAGCATTTCTGCTAAGAACTCCACTATTTCTCAGCGGCCAGCTGTCAGCGTGTCTAGGCGAACGATGCGATCTCAAAAGGACTCTGAAAATGGTGCAGGATCTCACAAAGTAGAGACCAGGGATCCTTCGATGGGCGCGTCTCGCGTGTCCAATCTCCCCGCTGTCACTTCGAACTTCACCCTCAGTCCAGCGGCGCTTCCCAGGTACCCAGTACACTGCTTCAACCCCTTCATTATCCATTTACAGCCCGCCGCAGCAACAGACTGCGGCGTGATCATCAACCAAGTCATCCTTCGCCTGTTCGACCCGACGAGCCAGTTGAATTTTGGCTTCACAGACGCTGCAGATGTCGATTTGTCAAAGCCAGAGTATCAGAAATGGCAGTATGGACATTGCATGATATCCGTGAAGAATAACAATGTGGCTCAAGTTGATACCTTCCGGCTGCTTGATGTAGCAACGACCGCGAGAACGATCAGCACGCAATGCCTAGTCAACACCCAAGACAAGATCGGTGGCGTTGCGAGTATTGGTACTGATGGGAGAGGCTTCTATGTTTATGTTGGCGGTCGGTTAGCCTCGAGCCCCGCCTTAAGTGATCTGACGCTTTTGCGCGAGAGTACTGGGGCAGAGAGCTTTTAGAGCTTTTGAATAGCCCAACAGGTTTTCCATTGGGCCTAGGCCTTAGCCCTAAGATTCGTGTTGTCAATTTATGTCAGTCTAGGTGCAGAAATTTTATTCAGGCTATCTCCAACGCTTACCTCTCTGCAACGGGTGCGATGCATAGCCACAGTAGCTGTTCCGATTCGAACCGAGAAGTCCCACTGGAGGTGATGCAGCGCTCTCGCTACCTTCCACTAGAGCCAGCAGCCTGTGAGAATTGTGACCAGAACAAATAAAACTGTCCCGTACGGCCAGCAATACAAACTCAGGCTTTTTGTAACGACTGTAGGCTATTTTCTATGTAGACTCTTGATGCAGCGCAGGAGAATGAACGAGAGACAAAGCACAAATCATATTCACCGCTAAAGTAGCGAACTTCAATACTCATGATCTAGATGATAAATCTCTTTCACAAGAGCCCGTCATCGGAGAAAGTTCGCCCCCGACGCTAATTGTAGAAAGGCCCAAAGTCGCCGTTCTCAAGTCTGTTGAGAAGAACTGGGTTAGATCCTTGAGGATTCATAGGATCAAAGAAAATCGTGACAATCATGCCTCGTTCCGCGATATCTATAGACTGTCAGACCTGAATGTTCGTAGGTACAACAGCACTTACGACCCGCCGGATACTGGTACAGATGGGGTCGCCAAGTCCCCGGTCTGAGACAAAGAGGCAGAACGTCCCCTAATACGTCCGGTGGTGCCGAGAAGGCTGCAAGAGCAATGAGTAGAGGTATGCTTCCGATAAGACCCGCCTGTATCCTAGGGCTTCCAGCCTGATTATCATAAACACTAGGTAGAAGCTGAGGCATCCAGTGAGGCGAGCCTGGGGCAGCGATGTGCTGATGATCACCGACCGTTGAAACAGCAGAATATGTATGTTGAGTATTGCCATTTAGAACATGGTGGAAGGACAGAGGTCTCCAGCCTCCTTGATTCTGATACGCATGCCTTTTCTGAGCGTCGAAAGGCACCGCAAGCAAGTGAGGCGTGTCCGGATTGTGAGTGAAAATGGTGGCAGCACTGTAAGTTTGATGAAGGGAACGGCCCACAGGATCAATGGCGGAAATAGGAGTCATAGTGCCGCACAGCCAACGGAAAAGAATGCATGGCTTTCGAGTGTACCCAGTCCTGATATTGGGTGGAACCCAGAAGTTATGTGTGCCATGTCGAGCCGACTGCGCTTGATAATTGGGTTGGAGAGGGTGGATCTGAACATAGAAGCTCAGTTGTTCTCCTGTGACTATTGGAAGCGCCACCGCCGAGCTGTCGTCGCCTTGGTAGAGCAATGCATTATCTGGCTCAAGTCTGGCAACGAATGTATTCACATCTAGTTCTTTTTGGGTAAATTTGTTTACTTGCTGCAAAGCGTGTTCAAAACGCTGGGCGTCTTGATGGGTCTTCTCGATAGGCGCAGGATCTCCAGGCGTCCTGGCATCCCACTCCTTCCAACTGTACGTCTCGTCCTCGTGCAAGTGATCCTTATCTAACGATTCGAAGGTGCTCTGGCTTGACATGGAGTCCTGGTCGTCTATGTTAGCATGCTTTGAACCCTGGTCTCCTACTGTGCTGTCTTCATCGGACCCCGCGGACTTCGGGAGTGCAAAGACAGCGATTTTCCGAAGATGAAGTGCGACATGACTAAAACTCGGATGTGTTTCTTGACAGATGGGACATTCTTCGCGCCAGACATCGTTAGGAGTTAGTGGATTAGGATGCTGGGTCTGTGGGAGAAATTCCCTTGGATCTTGGCTTTCGCTATGAGCGTCTGAAGACTGCTCAGAAGGATCATCCATTTGCCGCTCTAATCCTCGATGGATCTTGATCTCATGGTTGACCCAGTCTTTTATGTTATCGTACTGTTGATCCGCTTCTGTGCAGTCCTTGTACGTGCACACGTAGGGCCTCAGATCTCTGAGTACATGGCGTCTGTATTGATCCTGTTAGTGCTTTCTTCTCTTGCACCGGACAAGCTGCTTAGCTTACTCCCAGGCCGATTGATTGCAAAGACGTTTTGCGCAGAGAACGCGACAATATGGGCACTCGAACTCATCTTTTGCACGAAGGTTCTTTGGTAATGGTGGAATGTGAATATCTGTTTCTTCATCCTCCTTGGATAGAGCCACATATGTTGAGGTAGTTTTTATGGAAGCAGAACTGATTGTTGTTTCTTCAAGTCTGGTGGCTGTTGAAGGCAACGAAGGATGACCTTTCGCTTTCGAGAGGCCTGGATTCAGCTGTAAATCGGGTCCCGCGGGATTGAATTGCGCAGGAGCATGGTTTGACCTTTCAAGCTTCGTTATGTGGTTCCACCATTGCCCGAACTGCCGTCTCCGATGGGTGTTTGCTCTTGCAAGTCGCTGAACTAGAAAATCGTTCTCGCACTCTCCCGGCGACACCTGTAGGTGATGCGCAAAGATTTCCGCGACATGTTTGAGATCAAACGGGATGAACGCATTCATTAGATCCACTCCAGTGTCTTCGTTCACTTGACGGTACGTTCGGGCTTTGGAGAATCCAAGCCTTGTTGCGGGATTGCGTATTTTGAACGAAAGCTTATAAAGAGTGTCGATGATGAGTCTTGCATTCTCCAACTCAATGGCAGAAATCGAGTTGTTTTGGTAGCTAAGTAAAGATTCTTCCTCGTCGGAGCTTTCGTCACTATTCTGATTCTGGTAGGGGGCCGGCACAGTCTCCGGAACAATGCCGCTGTAGTCAGCTCGCTGACCGATTGGTAGCAAGCTGCTAGGTTGTTTAGCTCCTTTGTCCAGTTCGAGCTTCTCATAATCGAGGCCGTCTTGGACTTTAGTATCGTCAGCTGTATATTTCTGGGGATGAAGTGAAGGAGCGTTGCAGAGTGGGATGCGTGTACTTAAGACAAGCAAAGAAGAGGAAAACATACTAGTCAAAAGTGATTTCTCAAGTTTATCCAACAACTGGCGTGTGTAGTCATATACCGAAGGGGCATCACGAAACCTATAATCCAGAGAACTGTGGCCATATTCATATAGTCCGAGATTCCTAGCCCAGAGACTAAACCGTTGTGATTCAATTAATAGAGAAGTTTTGAAAGAATCTCCATGTTCGAGAGGTCTATCGTCTGCATACAAGGCCGTGAATATATCGTAAATATGGCGGCCGACTGCGGCTAGGGTCTCAGCGGCTTCGGGCGCTGACAGTGGCACCTCCATATACGGAGATCTGCTAGCAATGGCTGGTAGAAACCGTGATATTTATGTCTGGACGCGAGTGAGCCGGCTCCATATACTATGGATATCTCACAAGCTGTTGTGAGAGTTCCCTCTGTTCAGCTCCGTCAGATGCGGGGTCGAGGCAAGGCTGCATGCAGCTGATTATGGGTAACCAATCTCCTTCCAGATAACGCAAAGGCTAGCCTTGACTGCCTGTGCGTGACGGAACAACGACGACTTTTCGTGTCATGGTCAATCCAGCCTGCAATGGCCATCATCTAGTACCCGGTCCTTTTGGGGGCATTTTCGAGACCAACCATCATGAGTGGCATGGAAGTTGCTGGCTTGATTCTTGGTGCTGTGCCCATAATGGTCGCCGCTCTCGGGCACTACAAAACTAATCACAAGAAGTCATGGTCATTCAGATACAAAGCTTCTCGCATAGATCAATTGATTATTGCATTGGAGAACCAAAAGTTCTTTCTGGAAGGAGACCTTGAGCTTGCATTGCTGGAAGCTGGTTTTGAACGATATGATATCGTTTCTATGGACACCAGCAACTTGCAAGGGCTGCTCTGTAGAAGTGATGTAGCTGAAGAGCTCAGCCGATCTCTTGGTCGAGGCTTTGGCCCGTACAAAGACACACTTGGTAGATGCGAGGCGTCTCTGACTAAGATTGTGCAAGAGATGAAAGGTCTTGTGCCTGGTCCACAGGTCAGCAGCCCTTCTTCAGAACGGCTATTGAGCTTTGAGGATCCTAGACTGACTGCTGTTCTTGCCTGAAGTCTGGCAGTCTCAAAGAGCTGCTCAAAGCGAACTCATTAAGCGCCAATGGAAAGTACGAATTCAGAAGTCGAATTAAATTCGTTCTCAAGGATGATGAGCTCAAGCAAAGAGTCAACGACCTCGGAGAAACCACAGACATCCTGACAAAGCTGAGACACTTGGGTACATCGCTAAATCATCACGAGATTCTCTCTGAACAGAGAATTGTCGGAAAGTTCGCAGTTTTCTTGCAGCGAGTTCAACGACACGCAGACGTTCTCTACTCGGCGATGTCTCAGAGACTAATATCTGGATGCCACCATGAGCACGAGACTAGATTATATCTGGAGAATCGCTCGGACGCGTGGCACAAGCGACGAGTGTCTATCCATTTTGACTTGATCCTCGGATCACCAGCTGTACTCGCAGGTAGTAACATGCTGTCCCAGGAACTCCAGGTCGCGGTCCTTGATAATGAGATCTATGAGTGCGACTCATCAGTCAACCTTTGGCAAGGGTAGATGCACTGACAAAAGACATAGATTGACTACACCACAGGCGCGAAAGCAGCCCCAAGTTATGTTCGACTTGCCCCAGCCATCCGAGTCTCGTGAGCCTTTGATGGAGGAGGTAAAAGATCTCTGTTCGTCATTGGACCAGGCGCGACAAGCTAGCAAAACCCTCAAACTATATTTATCGCAACATGGCACTCTATCCGGCTGTCACACGTCTCCGGCCCCTGCAAGGGGGATTCACTCTGAATGCCGCACTCAAGAGCTCGTTACCCTAGAGCAATTTCTTCTTCAGACGCCAAACAATAGACCCATATCCTTGAAGTGGAGTCCAATTCAGCGGATGAGGCTGTCGTTTATTTTGGCCTCGTCACTTCTGCAATTATGCTCAACGCCATGGATGGCTAAGCCTTGGACGAAACAGACTATCTGTTTTTGGCGCCTCAGACCATCGCCAAATGCTGATGAAGCCGCTTTTCTTGTCGATACGAGTCATCCATTTCTCGTCCACAAATTCAACGTGGCTGCAGCAGCTTGTCCAACCCACAAATCAAGCGCGAGACAGCAGCTATTGAATTTAGGCATAGTACTCCTGGAGATCGGACATGAGAAATCTTTCGAGTCCTGGGCATCAGCCCATGGCTTCACTCTGGATACGGCGTATGGCAGTCGGTACGATGCCGCATCAGCGTGGCTACGCGACTCTGCGGGCGACTTGCTGTGTTCCTACTACGATGCCGCAGCCCGGTGTATCGAGTGCACATTCCAGACACGGCCCAAGTATCCTGTCCCAGACTGGGAAGATTCCGACTTCAGGAAATCTATTTGCGAATTGGTCATCAAACCTTTATGGAGTATCTGCTCTGGGAGGGCGATGTAGCATAGGGTCTTGCGAGAGAGATCGTCACGAACAATTGCCGTGACACGACAGCTTGCTCTGGCACCAAGGGGAGGAGCGTAGGTTCAGTCCTTACCGCCGCCTGAATGGCGCACCCTCATTTGACATGAAGACAAACTCTCCAAGTCTTCTAGCACATAAGTCAAGGCAGTGGGTCCTTCTGGACTGGCGGCTGTGGTTTGCCAAACGTGAATAATGATATCGAACAGGTCGTTTGAAATGCGATGGCCTCCGAACAATCTCGCGAACCACGGTTTCGTATATAACCCGGAAGTGCCCGATACCTGGTAATGCCCGATTTAAAATTCGATAAGTCCGACGCAATACCAAAATATGAGCATTGTTTTTGATCTTACTATATATCTATCTGAATAAGACGTTATACTATATCGATGCCCTATGATGCAATGGAATACCATAAAGGATAGTCTACTTATTTGTGGCTAGCCACTAGCTTCGCTGGTAGATAAGTTCAATCCCCCAGTCGCCTGAAAACCATAGACATGATAATCCACGAATTACCTCGTTTGAATTCCCGTGTAATAAAAATATTGGCCCCTCTAGGCCATTTATGATCTAATGCCCAAATCCCATTTATATTTGCTATACCTCCTTGAGATTATTCAGCAGCGATTGAAGGATATAGCTATCAAGCATTTTGAGAAGGAATTTCGAAGCATGTGTTACCTCGGACCAGCTATTTTTAAAGATACGAAGAGAGGTAGAAGTCTAGTCAAGAAAAAGGCTACTGCACCTCCCACACCAGGCCCACTGATATCACTAACGCTCACCCCACCACAGCAACAACAGCAAGGTGGAGGAAGACCTGCTTCGTAACAGTGGCGGACCCCACCGCAGGCTTCCCCGCAGGCTCCACCAGAGGCTTCATTATAGTAATAACAGCGGGGTGAAAGAGGTGAAAGAGGTGAAAGAGGTAGAAGAGGTAGAAGAGGTAGAAGAGGTGGAAAAGGCGGAAGAGGTAAGAAGGTAGTTAAAGAAGATATAATAGAAGAAGACGTAGTGGAAGAAGACGTAGTAGAAGAAGAGGTAGCGACAGTTTTTTCACGAACCGGTAGACCGATAAGGCCCAAAAAACGATAAATTAGGTTCTCAGATACATTAATATTGCTAGCAATGGAAGTCCAGTATTGTCCTTCATAATTATGCCGAGTTGCCATAGAATTTTGGTGAAAGGTAGGCACTTTGGTGTTGCGCCGGACTTATCGGATTTTAAATCGGGCATTACCAGGTATCGGGCACTTCCGGGTATATACAAATAGGAAGTCCAGCGAGGGACGACAATCAAAGGTTTAGGAACTACTGCATGCATGTGGAATGGCAGGCTCAAAGCATGTATAAACCAATAATATCTATGTTGAAAGCAAAGGCAAAGATGTACCAAGATAGCGAAAGCATGGCACGTGACTTCGTGTTCCGTCACAATGACGTAGACCTAGGGGCATGACGCGCCAAGCCTCGAACAGGGGAAAACATCAACAGACGTTTGCCGTCACAATTTCATACACATACCCTCCTTTTCAACAACAAACCACCCACCACAATGCCCAGAGCAGCACGGCGTACCAGCGGCCCCAGCGCCACCTCCAATCGAACCAACCCCTACCCCAAAACATCCCCCAAAAACAAAACCAAAAACAAAAGCGCGACGGACAAAGAGAACGTCGACCCCAACCCATCCTCCTCCGCCACCACCGCCGCCTCCGACAAAGGCGACTACCGCGCCATCGAACTCGAAGAGATCGACGGCGAAATCCCCTGCTACGACAACGCGACCACCGTCCGTCGCAAGCTGAACAAGCTCATCGCGGACAAAGGTACCATCCCGGGCTCGAGCAAGAAATGGAACCAGTCGGCCATGGCAGCCGAGATGCAAGAGCTGGAGAAGGGTGGACATCCTGTGGAATACAATAGGAATGCGAGTGGACCGACAGCGAGGTCGTTGGGGGGATTCTTGAAGAAGAGTGGGCAGATGGGTGGAGGGGATAGGTATGCTATCCATACACTCTTGCAGAACGACGGAGTCTTGATACTGAATTCGGATAGTCCATGCTACTACTGGGGCAATGCGATGCTAGAGAAATTGCGGATCTACAATGGGGAGAAAAAGAGCAAGCCGAGGCTGGAGGCTGAGAAACAGTGAGTGGCCATTTCGGTTTCTGCTATCACGACGTGTCACTCCGCCTGCCCGAGGGTTCTTCGAGATCCTCACACTTCAATCCCCAATACCGAGGCGGCTACTTCAGAGATGGTGCAAAGAAGCGCCATGTCACGGTGCTAGCAGGCGGACCAGCTCCACGGAATGCTTGGGAGCCTCAGGCGCAATGTCCTGCTCAACCAGACGTGTCATTGGAGGCCATTGAACCTGAAGCGGCAGTTCCGACAACAATACCAACACATGTTCTACGGCACGACACCGCTAACCTGGCAGAACCGCCACCGCTTCCAAGCGCAGGGCCAGCGCCGCCTTGACATCTTACTGTTCCCGCCATGGTCTATCCACCACCCCCTGCTTGCCTAGGCACTACACCAGCACAAATGCCTTCCGCACCTGCTCCCGTCCTTCCCCTCCAGGCCTCGTCTCCCATCACCGCATTGTTAAGGTCGCTTGCTCTTGCTCCCGTTCCCGTTAAGAATTTTATTCTAAACACATGCTAGCCTGTTCGTTAGTGTGCCACCGTACTAACGCGTAGTGTTCACTACTTAGGCTACCCTATGGCCACCGGCGCCAGGATCCGAAGAACATTAGAATGATCTGTGGGGTAGGGTTGCCGATGCCTTCGTTGGCGGAGTTGAGCAATGAGGGAAGGTAGATCGTGGTGGCAGAATCTGTGGCAGAAGACGAAGTGCAAAACGTAGAGATGTAATTTTAGCCCCATCACGGTGCTGATTGTCTGAATTATCATATGCCGTGCCTTTTACCATCATCTGCCAGTAATTAATCACTCCTGATTCAAGAAAACCACAGCAGCGCCTGCATTGTCCAACAGGCTATCCACTTCCTCATACGATGGGCCCGAAGTATTCACTCTACTGTCGAGAAAGGTGTCACCTCCACGATAGGCCCTTTGTACGTCTTCCTTGCCCATAGAACATATTCACAATATCGCAAACAGCACAACCGATCCCGTCATCAAAACAGTGAAATTCATATGCGCAGCCGTGACCGGCGTCGCCACCGGCCAAAAGCTGAAAAAGAAGATAATAATTCCGAAAACCAATGCCCAAGCATTGACGATAATACCGAAGATACCCGGGAGACGGAATGGTCCCCAGACAAGCTGATTAGCCTCGCCTGTGTCGTTGGCGACGTCTGTCGCCTTTCTGATAGCACCGGTGCATCGGCGCCAGAGGAGAAGGCTCTCCGTGATGAGGTAAGAAGCGTAGAGACTGCTTACGCCAAGGGAGATGGCATCGTTGAAAGCCGACACCAACGAGACCGATGAGGCAGGCGATAGAGGACGTTATGATGACTGCGAGGAATGGGATTGCGGTCTTAGATTGGACCTGCGTGGTAATGTGAGCCAGGAACCGTCTGCAATCAGGCGGTGTAGTCAACATACCTTGCTCACAGATCGCCACCCCGGAAGACCTCGATCGCGCGCAAAAGCCCAGACCAAGCGGGATGCCGTGGCCACGAACGCGATCGTCCCAGCCACGTCCATGATGATCATAGTGGCCATCCGTTGCATCATAGAAGATTTGCATGAACGGATAGTCTAGGACTCCAGTAGGACTTGCCAGAGCTGCAGTGATGTCTGTTGTGAGAAAGAGTACTGCGATGACAATCGCGAACCCGAGCGCTCCGTTGGGGACAGTAGTTGTGAGCGTCGACACCGGTACCACGACTTCGGCATTCTTAATTTCCTCAGCCATGTGAACGGCGCTATCGCATCCAAACATGGCATACACGTTGCCGATGAGACCTATGGAGAAGGATAAGGTCTGTGAAGGCCATGCACCCCCATTCGAAAATTGTGTAAAGACATCGTGGGCTGAGGCTTTGTTTGGAGCCAAATGAACCACTGGGATCAGGACAGCGAAGAAGCCAACCACATGGACAGCCAAGGTAAAGATTTCGATCTTAGGTAATATGCTGCTGGCGCCGTATTGATGAATACGGCAACAACGATTATTGCCCAGAAGAGCAACGTTCCGTGCCACAATTCCGGCACGTAATCATCATGATTCAATTGGATCAGCGCAACGATCATACTACCACCTAGGTAACCACCTCCAGCAAGAATGGCTTGCCATCCACAAACCACCAACCAGCCCATGATATAGCTGAGAAACTTTCGACACGGTGGAGGGGCAAGCATCCAGACCCAATGATACTGGCCACCCGCAGTTGGAGCCATGAATAGCTCTGCCATAGTTGTGAAAACAGCAATGGTCCCAATCCATACCAGAAGGTAGCCATATACGAGCCCAGCAGAGCCTCCGTTTGTCAATCCAGTCGTGAACAAAGTTAGGGATCCATCCCAGGTAATCAGTATCGTGCAAGTAAATCCAAGAATCCTGAGGAATCCAAAGCGCCGTTCGAGCACGGACTGCTTACCAAGTCGAGCCAGCACTTGCGTATCGCGCTCTTCCTTGGTTATCGGCTGGATGTCAGAATGATAGGGTCCCTTTTCCATGGGGTCTTCGTCGGTGGGGTGACGCCCATCGATAAGCTTCATGACTGCAGCTAGGCAATGTCTTATGCAGATTCGATAAAGTGGCTCGAGAACCGCGACAACGCTCTCTAACATATATCGGTTTCAACCGCAATTGGTCGCACAGGCAAAAGGTTTTTCCTGAGGGCTCTCAACTTCCCTCCAAATCTGTTGTAAACGCGCAGAGGCTCAAATGTGATCAAGGGTTGCCAAAGTCCGAAAACTAGTCGGCCAGTGCTTTCTTCGACGCAAATCCACCCTCTCAGAAGGACTCGACCGGAACGTTGTAAGACAAAGACACGATGAAGTAGGAAAGCACCCTCTCAACATGAAGAGTGTTCCTACGACAGCAGCTTCGAAGGCCTGAGGCCTGTCTGCTAAATCTCTACGACACTATGTCGGTGTATTCTCTTTAGTGGCTTTGCGTTCTCTCAGCACATACCTCATTTGACTACCACTCAGTATAAGTAACTTAGCACCTGCTCAACCAGGTAATATTCTTACATCGCAAAACTTTCAACTCCCCTAAGATAGGGCCTCATTACTCGCAATATCGTCCAGCTCACCCTGCTCAGACTCGGATAGCTGTCGTTCTAAGCCATAGAACCCCGAGTTACCTCTCTTCTCTTGTTGCACGAAGTCTTCGGGGTTCGAATTTTCAAAAACTCTCAACCCGTTGGTGTTTGCTAGAGCTTTGCCTACTACTTCGGGTACAAGAAGATGACGAGTCTCTTCTGTCGACTGGAGAACGCAAAGACAAGATCACTCGCCCAGGTAGAAGGCGTCCTCTAGCCTATGAGCTTAGATCAGACATCTGAACAGCTACAACAGTTCCTGAGACGGTACCAAGGACAGGAACAACGCTGGTCGTCTACGAGTGCGTGAAAGGTTAAGATAACACTATTCGTACAAGCGTGGCACCTCTCACTGCCAGTGGATCGCGATAGGCTCAAGTCCACGCAAAGGACAAATACTCAGATATCTGCACCTACTTGGGCCGTCGAGTCCGGTCTGTGATGTGAATTGGTACGAATTCAAGGCAACACACCATAGCTCAGCCAGAATGGTAGTTATATTGCTGTACGCAACGTGGTATTGCTCTGGGGTAGTCCCTGAACGTGACTAGGCGGATTGCTTAGCGTTAGGATTTTCTTTGCTGTCACAGACCTGCTGGCATGAAGCTTCTTCACACTGAGATAGCCGCAAGAGACTGGGTATACCACGAGTATTTGTACAATCGAATATCACAAATCTTGAGGCATGATCTTGGCCCCCATTATGGTATTCCTACTCACCTTCAGCTCAAGTCTCTGGACACGATTGAATGCTTCTCATGGTTGCATCTTCTATAGCAATGGTTTCAGCACACTTCTCAGTCTACAAGACTATCCTCGAATAGCGATTCCGCCTTTCACTCAGCAGGTCTTTGCACCTCGGCTACGAAAGCACCTCGGAGTGGTTTTCGTGATCTCGCCTACATGCGTGGAGCGTTCTGATTTGGCATTCGGGCTAATTACTGATTCATGTCCCTAAACCAAATTATGGGATATAATCCGGTAATTTGCCATGGTAGCCTACGTGTAGAAGCAGCTAGGTGCCGGTGCCTGTGAGACGGGTGTCATGAATGGTAGCTTCCTGGTACGAGACGGCCGGATGAAGGCTACGGTAGCAGCAAGCTCCACTAAGCGTCTGGTAGTGGTTATCAACTCAGTTATTGATATCAGTGATGTGGTAGGGCGTGCTAGTCACATCTAATCCTCAAGGAGTCAAGATTTCGTCCACTCCGCTTTCATCTGTTGTATCTCGGCTGGTAAAATTGCCATCAAACGGGGTTGGAGAAATTCCCTCGCTTCTACAGTGGGATGGGCCAGGTCGCGGATCCTCTCCTTTGCGACTCTCACCATGAATGGCAGATTACCGAATCACATCCCATTGGGGCGTGAATGATTCGGTAAGCATTCATAGTTTTGGGGTACGAATCAGTAATTAGCCCTTTAACACTCCCAGCAGCCACAATCCCACAACTCAAGGCGTGCCCATACGAGAAACCCCGCAAGAATTGGAATCCTTACAATCGGAATCATGATCACTGATCAGTGCGGACCAACAGCTGTGTCTGGAGCGACTCAAACAGTAAACGACACTCGGAGCAGCCGTACGGACAAGCCTCTGACCTTTTCACGGCACAGAGACCGCTCTGGTGCCACGCGCCGCACATGAACATAACACAACACAGCGAGACCGAACACTGCAGGAGGCGCGGTGGACGAAGGAGACATTTTATCCGAAAGCTGAGCGTGATCCGTTGCTGCAGGCTGGGGGGCCGAAAAGTCTGCGTCTGCGTCTGTGCCTCTCTAGCGACGCGGTCTGTGCGCATAGTCGAGCTAAGAGCCAGCGCTCAATCGTCGATTCTGCCTTCTTTCAATCGTCGATGCTATCTATCTCCGCATCAATAGAGAAAATATCTCAGTGGGGTCCGCATGGGCACATAAGCCGGGGGGTCATGCAGGCACCTCGCATCCTTCTGCTTCGCCCGCTGTCTGTATGTAGGTGACATGGATAGCTTACGGCCGGGAGGTGTCGCCATAAGGCGCCCGCGGTTTTAAAAAATATGGCGCTATAATACGGAGATAGAATCCTTTCAACAAAAGGTATGCAACCATCAACACCATGCTTATCGACGCTCTACAGCCTTACATCAAAAACCTCGGGTGCCTTATTTGCGTGGTTTCTATTACTTGTATGACTGGACGCCGCTCCAACGCGCTTTATCTGCCGACATAGGTATACCAGATATGTTCACAAACAACTGCATCACGGACCCATTTTCCCGCGTTCAGAAAAATGGCCAAAGCCATGAGGTGTCGCCATGGAGCAACAAGGCAGCATTTTAAATCGGTGCCATAGCCCGTTCAGCGGTGCGCCGGGCCGCAGTGTCCACACTGTTTCTCAACGACTCCAGACAGCCCTGCCGAATGCCTTGATCTAGTAGCAAATCTTCCTGGATGGATCGTCTGATCATACGGAGACATTGCCAGGGTTTTGCCTGGGAATGGGCTAGGATACGGCAGCTGCGTTTGTAGATTCCTTATACAGCACCCGGGGCCATGACAACGCTGTCCGTCCGCCCGTTGGAAGCCTGGTTCGGTAGACTTGGTAGAATCTGCCAGCTGGGTTGCTAGGCCGTGGGTACATATGAACAGGGTCTGGAACGTGGCTGAGCCAACCCGAACGATCCAACGCCCGTTACGCCTATGTCTCTTCTACACAGCCATGGCCAGAATGGAGGACCCTTCGCGATAGAACCGCGAGCGCCATTAAAATCAGGTGCTTTGTTCGAGCCAGATCGGCGAAGCATGGCCTTGCTCGTTGGACATGATACAAACACGGATTCATTTCCTCCAGTCTCAGGAACGGGATGGGTCGAGCAAGCTCGACATCAGTTTGTTTTGCTACGGTATCGCTATCTTGTACAACACAGCAGAGCGGTAAACAACCGAGTCCTCCCGGACACATCACCCCTCCTCCACCATAAGTTCGCCAGCCAGAACTTCTCTGCCAGGCTTCGTTCTCGATGAAGCATTCGGGACATATTATATGAATACTCCGTATCGGCGATTGTAGCCGTCCATACAACAGCGTAATCACAACTCGACCGTGCATCCATAGCGCCTCCCCCCCACCAACAAGTCTATCCGTCACAGCCAGCCACGGCGACAAAATAGCCAGCCCATCCGATAATCCCTCCAAACCCCACCTAGCCAGTAACAAAACCCCAGTGACAACCATCAAAACCTTGCCCCGACCGCAACAGCCGAAAATCCCAGCCATGCCCATACCCAACCCCACCCCACCGCATAAACACGCACGAACCCTACCCCGGTTATCACTCACACCAGGCCCCCCCATTCGGGAGCAACGCTAACCGCAACACGTAGCCCTTAAGCGAGCATCGTGCTTGGCACACACGCACGGGTCCTGGCCCCACGCTTACTCGTATCGAACCGACCAACCAACCAACCAACCGTTGCGCAGGTAGGTAGAGAGTATATCGCTTGCCCCGGAACCGATCACCCCACCCCAGCCCACATACCCACCGTAGCGGTAGCGAGCTGCAGGACGGTAAAAAACGAACAAAAAAAGGAAAAAAAAACCAGGCAACAGTAACGGCACCAAAACCAGTGAAGCTTGCACGTTGGCTGACCACCAGGAAATTAAAGATCGCAACGACGACGGTAGCGATTGGTGCGCGAAAAAGCTCACGCACGTGGTACGTGGGATTGTCGCACCAGGGCACCCGCCCGGGACAGCTTACGGTAATGTGTAGATCGAAAACATTTATCGGCATTGATGTTGTTTTCGGTGCTGAGATCTACGAAGCCTTGCCCACGCGGGGTGGTGGATAGGTGGTTACCTAGCTCGGCCACGTGTAAGGAGAAGCGAGTCCAATCGGTGCATTTACTGTGTGTGTGCGGGTGGGGGGGCGGGGTTAGTTATGCAAAGTGCTAGATAAGATGGATGCGTGCTAATGCAGTCATCAATGAATTGCAACCTTGCTTGCCATCTTACATTATCGACGATACGGGAGGGAAAGGGGTGAGACCTTCGCTCTGCCTGGCCGAACAGAAAAGAGATGGAACGTCGCTGGCTGGCGCTTCGTCGCGCCAGTCGATGGCCGCATCGTTGGAGATGGGTATGTCTGGGATTTCGACAATTCAAATCGGAAAGGAAAAAGCATGGCTGTTTCCTGACGAAGGCTACGGATCGGGATCGCCGGTTGGGATTATGGAGCATCTATCGGTCTAAAGTCTACACTATCGCAATGGTGGTGACGATCTTCCGCCTGAAGAGCAAATCCAGGACGTCGCTCCGGGTATCGGGGTCCAGATTCTCCAGCGTCAGCACCGTCTTGCCTCGCTCCCCCGGCGCAAACGCGGACTGGATTCCGTTGGACGAAGATGGCGTCACCGCCTCCGTCACGTTTGCGTCCGTCAGCGTGGCCTGGCCCTCGAGACCACCGGCAGGTGGCTGCTGCTGACGGTCGTTCGTGGACGATAAGGCGTGAGAGGTCGTGGTGGGGCTGAGGTTCATCCAGGAGTCGAAACTCATTGTGGCGTTGGGGAAAGGGAAGAGGGAAGAGGAGCTGTTCGGTGACATGAGGACCGATCTCGTTTTGTCGCTCTCGTTGTTGTTGCTGTAGGGATTCATCGTCGTGAACAGATCGTCGTGCGCTTGCGGGATGCGTGACCCGTATTGCCCAAGTGCGCCTGGAAATAGTTGAGGGTCCAGGACCTCCATGGGGTCGGCCCGTGCACCTTGCGAGATCCATGAAGTGATAGCTTGGTCGTCCATGGATGTCGTTGAGATAGTCTGCATAAAGGGGTCGTGCTGCTTCTTGCCGTTTTCCGGGCTGGTCGGTATCAGATCATGCATCTGCTCGGGTTCCGCTTGGGCGTGGTTGTCTTGTGAATGCATCGTTGTTGACGAAGTAATAGATGGTCGTGGTTGCTTTTTCTTTTGCTGTCGAGCAAGCGATACATACCTACATTGCTCTCAAGGTTAGCTTGTATACGACCTCATTTATCAAGGACCATGAGACGCCTCACCGATTGCTCAGATCCAATCTTGATCTTTCAGGGAGGAACTTCTCATGGATTAATTTCCAGTCATGGCCGTAGCTTTGAACAGCTTCCATGAGAGTAGTATCCTAACCTCCACAATCAGTCGTCTATCGTCTCACATAGAAGCTCGTTGTCTCACATCTTCCTCGGTCCATTCACCGCGCGAGTTGTTTGGATTGAGAGAGTTTCGCCAGCGCTTGGCACATTCTGGACCCGCATCAGCTTGCCCTTGATCAGAGGTGTTCTTTTATATGAGTGAGAACGTACGATCAGGGCTGCGGGTCCCAATGGTTTTTGAGATATCAGTCCAACTATTCCCAGAGCCCATTTAGCGTTTGATCCCAGGATACAGCGACAAGGTCTGCGCACCGACAGCCGTATTCTTTGACCGCTTGACAGAGAATGTCATCTTCACTGCTATCCCATGCCCCCTTTCTCCATTTCTCGTCCATTTTAGCCCAACGTTTGCGGCAGTCGTCCTTGCTTCTGTCTCGAAATGCTGCGGCAACTTGCGGCCAATATATGGGTTTCCCGGACTTCTCTGCCTCAAATCGTTAGTCTGAATGCTCGTTCTCTTACTCCGTCAACCCTTACTGCACTCTTCAACTTTCGCTTGCAGGATCTTATTCTCTGCAGGCGTCCACTTTCTAGGCGCTCTATTAGATTGCGGATTCATTTCAACCACAATGAAAGGCCGATTTTTGGAGTGATATCCACAATAGAGGTTACTGACTTGGTTCCCGTATCTACGAGCCCACAAGTCGCGGTTGCGTGATTAGGGACGGCTCTGCTAGTTTGGCATCAGACCCCGAAGGAGCTGAGAAGAATCCTTGTATCAGGCTGATGGAGCTGAGAGGGACCAATGTATCAGGCTGATAGGATTGGCAAATCTCACTGTATCTTGGCTGATGGGGGCGGTCTGACATCTGCATCGGTCGAATACCTACACCGTCTGAAACGCCAACGACTTGAGATGTCTTTCTTTGGTTGTGAATATTATTCACACCCACACATCGAAGGCCAATTAACGAACGAACACACAAAGTCCGGTCAGATGCGTGCAATTATCCGCAAGGATTCTCGTGGATTCTCGTTCCCGAAGTTTCGGTAGGCAACAGAACAATAAGCCAAAGCCTCGCCGCTGCGGTGCATACAGCTTTGGACCCATCGATCATACGATGGGATTCTTGTTGTCGTTGTTTACAATCCGTGGCTTCATGCTAACAAATACTAAACCTTGAGTTAGCGTCATTAGCGTCTCGTCATTCATATTTTATAAAGACGAAATCCAACTATCAGAAGCTATATATTATCTGAAGTTACATCGTTGAAAAAGTTGGCTTTGAAAGCCTCCTTAATGTGACAGCTAATTCGCATTGAGTCGTACGAGTGGTGGTGATGCCGCGCGGTCTTATCGGCAGGACCTCAAAGAACAAGGATGACCGGGCTCGTGTGGGTAGAAGAGGATGTAGATTTCTAAGGAAGCAGATCCCAAGGATCTTAGGGCAGCCAAAAAAGCTATCCTATATATGGCTAAAAGGACGACCCAGGAAGCACCTTCGACGGTCTGGCTGCGGCATACAGTAGTCCGTAAGCTAAAAGCAGTGCAAGCGGGGTGTCCCGAAAGGCGTAGTCCCAATCCACGGCCTTCCCGTAGTTATCATCCACGACTCACGACGCAGTATTGTGCCACGCGAGCTAAGTGGCCAACGTAGGGTACAGACCAGGTCCCACGGCAGGGCGATGGCTCATTCGGGCCATTATTCTGCATGCTAATCCAAAAATTTGAGACTCGTGAAGCTGCAACGAAATTGGAGACTGGGATTCTGTGTTCTGGATTCTAGAGTGGAGACAACCACCCGCTGTCGGACTATCAGGGGTAAGCACTAGTAATTCGAGAGGCTATCGCATTTCAGAAAATAAGAAGCACCGTAACACCATTATACCAGCGCCATTAGGAATCGAATCTAATACGAACTAAATATCTTTAACAATACGATTATAATTAATAGGCGTCCGCCTTAAACGATAAGTTAATTAACGAATATTTTCTGGGTATAAAAGTATCTATTCTCGATTAAAAACTTTAAAAATCTATAGTTAATAGCGTTGTTAGAAAATAAGAAGCATCGTAACACCATTATATTAGCGCTATTAGGAATCGAATCTAATACGAACTAAATACCTCCAACAACAATTTCAGGAATACTAAGCGATTGAAGATCATAAGATAATCACACGCATTCTACTCCTCCCCCTGACATACCTCAGATAACGAGACGTACCCTAATTGGAACGTAAGATATGTGTTGTGAAAACTCATTTGAAAAAAGGATCTCGGGTCTTCCATACCCATTGCTTTCTATAGACCGTATTGAATGTCGAGCGTGTAAGTTCAAGTTTCTTACGACGACGAAGTTTGCCATTCGAGTTTTCGGAAGTTTCGTGTTTTGTATTTTTTTAATATTTCGACTCCAGCGCTTTCAATGTTAATTCTCCGGCTACCGAGGGGTAGCCGTGCAACGCACTCTTAGCTCCTTCCTTGCCAATTAACGGCCCTATTATTTTGAGGATGCACTCTCTATGCGCTCTTTGATCGTCCGACCCATCCCATCAACACAACCATGACTACCCTCAATGAACGGTTGACGCACAAACGGACCGAAGCCTTGGGAATAAGCTCGGCTACTAGAGAAGGAATGATGATGCGATCAGGCAAGCTGCGCACAGCAGGTGAGAAAAAGCATGAAGCCAAGCTCCTCCGAGTACGTCGCCAGAATTCCCTCGGTGGATCCTGGACACCGCTCGGACCAAAGGCCCCGTATGATACAGAGCAATTGCGGCAGCAATCTGCTCGGACAAAGCATCATGCACTGCGCGGTTCAGGACTACCGCGACGATGATGTTTGTGGTCAGGAGCAGAAGGGCGTACTGCCGGATAACCCCGTGGCTGTGTGGTTGGGGTGTTGAGAGCGTTGCTGAAGGTCGGAAGAAAAAGTTGATAGCCGCTGTTGTCTCGATGACAAGATGAAGGACAAAGGCAAACCTCATTAGAGATTCCATTTTGCTCAACGGACTTGGGATCAGCGGGGTTGACAAGGCGTTGTGAATACCATACCATTGGTTTGGTTGGTGGAGGAGTATTCAGAACCAAGCAATGCTGTAGATGCGGAGGGGGAAAAAAGCAAAGTGCATTGTGGATTGTTGCTCCTCGGAAAGATTACCTTAACCGGGCGCACTAAGGCGGCTCGTTCCTTCCTAGAACAAGCTAAGTGCGTGGGGCGATTAAATCCGGACACTGCATGCCAAGATTACTTTGATCGTTACGGATACCAGAATTTCGATACACTTTGATGTAAAGTACAGCAATACCTACTTATAGTCATAGCGTTAGTGAGACATACCGGAATTCCTGATTTAACGGAAGGTTCCAGTGGCTTCTGATGCAATCCCATACTGACAACAGAATCCTGAGCTGTCACGGCTTCCGTTGGATGCTCCAAGAAACCCTGGGTGCATCTCATTGAGATAGCTACACCAATATTTACTATTGTATTTAGACATCATTGGCTGGGAGGTGTGTTGGGAGAGTCAAGACACTAGCACTAGCTCTGTTCTAAGCTTAGTCAGCATTTAGCACCCCCACGACCCCTCAAATTAGCGTAAGCCCAGGACGCCTTATTTATTGTCTAAATTAAAACAGAGTTTGAACGGCGCTGCCGTCACGGGAGGTACGGTATCGCTGTAACGTGGCACTGGACATGGGCTCATGTAGGGCTGACTTTCTACCCGGAAGCTCCCGTAAGATAGGGGAGTGACAATTACATCTAGTTCCAGGGCCAGCATCGTGTATGGGAGGACCAACAACAGGATTATCTACGGGGAACCAGACGGCTCGTGCACTTACTCTATTGTTGCGCTGATACGTTGTCATCTCGGCTGTGAAGTGTCGACACAGTGCTACCTTTTGCTAGCCCCAGCCCTGCTCTCTGCACGCCGCCTCGTAAGGTAGCGGGCCTTGAAGAGATCTCCAAAAAGCGCACGAGTTACCTCTTGTAGAGTAGTGAGCCCCAGATTAGACTGGAGCTGGAGCCAATATCCAATTCTGAAGCACTTTCAAGCGCATCTGCATCATCCAGGCAACCCTTCAGCCGGGGCGTTATACAAGATCTCGACCTAGAGTCTTGGCGTTCGGGACTTTTTCTGCCCCACCTGCCCACCATCCTGCGGGTAGTGCTTACCCATACCGGGGGCAAGTTGTTCCTACCCTAGGCCTACTCTACAACACAACCTAACATAAGCTATAAAATGCTTCCACCATTCACTGAGATATAACAAGCATAGGATGCATCTCATCCTCACCGGCGCCACAGGTCTGGTAGGCTCTGCCTGCCTCCACCAGATGCTTACCAACAACCTGGTCACCACGGTGTCGATCCTCAGCCGTCGACCTGTCCCGATGGCTGAAGGTCATCCCAAGGTCAAAACCATACTACATACCGACTTCAACCAGTACCCAACTGAGGTCCTGAATCAGCTCAAAGGTGCCACGGGCTGTGTCTGGGCCTTGGGCGTTAGCGTCAATGATGTGAGCAAGGAGTAGGTGCATGACTCTCCTACAATCCTGACGGATCGACATTGGGCGCGTGCTGATGACGAGCTCTACACCGTAGGTTTTACGAAGAGATTGTGGTATCATACCCACTCGCTGCCGCTAAAGCGTTCGCCTCGCTGTCAGAGTCTTTCAATTTCGTCTACGTCTCGGGTAATAATGATGACCTATCTCGTGCATCGTCCAAGCTCCCGGAATCCTCCATCTATTCAGACTTGCTGTCCCTGCTTACTGACGCGCATCCTTTCTAACAGGCGAAGGCGCCACTACGACACCCGGACGTTTTACGCCCTTCTTTGGTAGAGTCAAAGGCCGCATCGAAGCTCAATTACAAGCACTTAGCACCGAGCCGGCATATGCGAGCTTGAAAGTCTATTCCCTCCGTCCCGCTGGGGTGGATCCAAAGTTCCATGAGGAGATTCACGGATGGATTCCGAAGCTGAAGCCAGCGGGTAAAGCTGTTGGGTACCCCATCGTGTTCACAATTTTGAGAACTGTCAATCCTGGTTTCATTAGTCCGACCAGAGAGCTCGGGAAAGTGCTGGTTGACTTGGCCATGAACGACGGGAAGCCGCTGAGCGGCGCGGGGGTACTTGCGGATGGTCGGACGATATCGAATCTTGGTATGAGGAGGTTAGCAGGTCTTTAAGGTTGGTCAGTTTGGAATGGAACTCCTGGGAGTACGTGGACTAAAGGATAGACCCAAGGCTGTGCTCGGATCAGAATCTTCGCGTCAGCTTAACAGCTTATCTTGGGGGGTCCGTCGTCAGCAAATCGTAAGAAAATGATATTGCAGGAAAAGGCCTCCCGTAGGCAATACATGTTTGCTGGTCATCTTTTTTAATAAGAATCAGTATTGGGGCACTCTTCTACAGCCACATTCATTGTGATCAAACACTTTTCAAGAAAGAGATTGATCTGGTGATGAATTAGGGAGCCTTCATTCTACTTCGGCGCAACTTTGCGCCGTACTCCTCCTCCTTCGGCCGAACTTTGCACCGTTTACTTCTTTAAGAGCCCGACTGAGCCCGACTGCGCAAACATAAAGAAAGCGCAGGTGCGAAGCCTCGGCATGACGTAGCAACCTTCACCGTCTTCTTTTGCTTGACGAACTTTAGAATCACACTGCGTTGATCTAGTTCGAAGTTTAGACAGAACGATTGCACAATCCAGAACATTGACAATGAGCCAGATCAGCCAACTTTTCCCGCCTGCTCCCAAGTTCACGGAGAAAGACCTTGCAGACCAGGCAGGCAAGGTGCGAGACTCATCTCCTTCATATCCATCATCACCTTTCCGTCGTCCCGCCAGCCGCAAATCGGTCACACTGACAGCTCTACAGGTCTTTCTCGTAACTGGCGGCGCCGCAGGCATCGGCTTGGAGCTCGCAAAGATCCTCTATGCGCACAATGCGAAGGTGTGGATCGCAGCTCGCTCGGAACAGAAAGCCTCCAAGGCCATAGCATCCATCGAAGCCAGCTTCCCCAAAAGCAAAGGCGAGCTGGTTTTCCTACATCTCGACCTCAATGACTTGATGGTGGTAAAAAAATCCGCCGAGGCATTCCTCGCCCAAGAAACCCGTCTCGATGTGTTGTGGAACAATGCCGGAGTGATGATCCCCCCGCAAGGCTCGAAAACGAAACAGAATTACGAGGCCCAGCTTGGAACCAACTGTCTCAGCCCTTTCCTTTTCACAAAACTTCTGACACCTCTCCTGGTCGAGACTGCCAAAACGGCACCGCGAGGAAGCGTCAGAGTGGTTTGGCTGGGGTCGTCGGCTGCAGAAATGATGTCGCCTAAGGGAGGAGGGGTTGACATGACGAATCTCGATTACAAAGAGGATAAATCAGCTTGGTACAAGTATGGTGTCAGCAAAGCCGGCAACGTACTGTACAGCAAGGAACTCGCCAAGCGGCACCAAGCCGACGGTGTCCTCAGCGTGGTATGTGCAAGACGTCGTTTGTCTGCGGGCTCGTCAAGGCTTACCGGTGACCCGTGCAGGCTCTGAACCCAGGCTATCTGAAAACGGAGCTCCAGCGCCACATGTCCGGCGTCGGAGCTTCCATCTTCAACCTCTTCCTCCACCCTCCCATGTATGGCGCCTACACCGAACTTTTCGCCGGATTGTCCCCCAAGGTTACGCTTAAAAATTCAGGCGCATGGAGTACGTCCAAGGTCCATTTTGCCCTGCGCCATGCTGACATGGCGATTTTTAGTCATCCCCTGGGGCCGCTTCAGTAGTATACGGAAGGATATCGAGGCCGCCGGAAAGTCTAAAAGCGAAGGCGGGACGGGACGTGCGGCGGAATTCTGGGCGTGGAGCGAGAAACAGGTCCAACCGTACCTGTGACGCCGACTCCTCCGTGTTTCCGGTGGTGGTCAAAGGTTTGAGACACCTGAAGCGGGTGTCTAGATCTTAAGGAGGGTTTTCGCTTGCAGTTCGCTTTGACCGGTCTACAGCAAGACCGTGCATGCCGCCCTTTTTTCCCTCAAGCAAATCCAAAGTTTTAGAAATAGAACAAATTTTAATCTTCCGCTAAGACATTCATTCTACTACCATGTCGCCAGGACCTGGCTCGACATCAACCGCCGCAAAATTCGCACATCATATCTTCCACCACCCTCTGTACCCCCAACACCCATAAACTCGATCACAAAAATGTCCAGTCTAACAGCCGCTCTCCGCAGCCAAGACTACAGATCACATGCTGAAATTTTTGAGTGTATGTCTCGTCGTCACCAGACGGTCAACCTGCTTCACATCCCACCCTCAACACAACTGACTTCGCGCCCCTGACGTAGGGTAGATTTTTGTGCCGGTAGGGTATGTAGAGTGAGTACTCGAACCATGTCCTAGATGGTAGCGCGGATGCGAATTGACTCACGGACACTCATAGAATAGATTGACCGCTTTGTTTGCGGATGTGATACGTATACACTCCTTTTTGATACATCGACACCCACCTCACATCCGGGTGCTGTTTCCGGGCCGAGGCGTCGTCTCGAGTGCGCCAAATGCGGTGGTCTTGCTACCTACAGAGTGCGTCGCTCGTGAACAGGATCCTTACCCTTTCCTGTACACACTCGCTCCTACAATCCTCCGGTGCGCTGGATGTTAAACAGACTAGCCCTTCCGCCGGGGGGGCGGAGATAATTGTGGACAGTAGATATTCGTGTCGAGCCGGGAAGTGCCCCTAAAGATGCAAGCTAGAGCGAGTCGGGTCTATCACCCATCGTACCCGGAAGCTATTCCCGGACATGGAGGGCGGTGTCGATGTGTCAAAAAGGGGTGTACACGTATCACTTGCCATATTCGGTGCACCAGGTGCACTTCCTCCCTCGCAGAACGGCGTCGGCGGTACGTAGTGCCGGCAGTGATAGCGGTGCAAATTTGCACCGTATGACTCCTCTTCTAGGCCGACCCCAAGGGCCAACCCTGCAGCCGCTCATATCCAGATTCCCTTGGCATGCCAATCAACAGACGTGTCAACACAAGCCTCGAGGCTACAAGGGACGCTAAGCACGCACGTAGAAAGCGATACATTTCAGGAGGAATCCTTCTTGAAACAAGGGAGGGGTCGCAGAGCTGGCCCGAGATGGAAGAGTAGTAAGCGCAAATGAGTCAGACAATTGGTACGAATTGGGCAAGGATTCCGAGCTTGGAAAAGGGAGTAGCGCGTCCGACTGAGCCCGACTGAGCCCGACTTGCGAGGACTACAAAGGCAGGAGTAGAAGAGTTCTGACAAGTGGTGTCGTGAGCATGATCCCGAGTCCGCTGATTCCATTATCAGGGACTGTGTATGTTTGTTTGACTGACAAATGGCGGTCAAGTCCAACAGATTTACGAAGAGGGTGGATGGGCATGGTAAGTAAGATGAGGTGAGATTCTCTAGGCCACTGGATGTTCTCGCCAAGACACTAGTGAGGTAGTACACCTGTCAGAAAAGAGTGCCAAGCACACCTACGCCTTTTAGGTCCCGAACCTTATAAGATTCAATCACCCCTCCGACCCGCATGGAGCTAGCTGTGAAAAGCTAGATTCCGCTCTTCGGGCAAACTCTGCGGAGTCGGTTTGATAGTTCGTCCGAGTCAGCCTGCAACAAGCTGGCACACACTGTAGGCAGGTTCCTCTCAATATTCTAGACGCTCGTTGACTGTCGTTCTACTCATTTTGCTCTTCATATCTTTTTTCTTCTTCTTTCATTTTGGCGGTTGAAGAAAGAGAAATCCCTGCCCGCCCGTTGGCTTGACTCTCCCTCCCCTTTCCAAACCTGTTTCAGCACAGCCTGTGGAATGTCAACGGAAATGGAGACATCGGCGGGCTCAGAGATAACCAAGCAGGAGACGGTGGGCCCAGAAAAAGTAGATGAAACGACTGAGCCATTGGGAAAGCTGAACTCGAATTCAGAAGAGATAGAGAAATTCAAGCCAGGATGGCGGCTTCTATCTGCCTTCACTTCAATCGCCATTGTCAATCTGGCCTGCGCTTTAGATGCCACCATCGTTTCGGTAGCCTTACCGGTAAGCCTTATCGTCTGATCATGTGATCAATCAACCATCATAACCGTCCTACCCGTTAACATGCTCAAAGGTCATCACCGTCGCCCTCAAAGGCAATGCAATTGAAGCCTTCTGGGCCGGAACCTCATTCCTGCTGACCTCCACCGTCTGGCAGCCTAACTTCGTCGCTTTCTCCCACCTATGGGGTCGTCGCCCCCTCCTTCTCGTAGCCCTTACCTTCTTCACTGTCGGCTCCATTGTCTGCGCCGTGTCGAAGAACTTCACCATGATGCTTGTTGGCCGTTCCATCCAAGGTACCGGCGGGGGAGGTATTATCGCTCTCACGGAAATCCTCATCACGGATATGGTGCCCCTCCGCGAGCGAGGCAACTACTTTGCTCTCATCAGTATCGTCTGGGCCATCGGTAGCGTGTCCGGTCCTCTGATTGGAGGTGCCCTCGCCCAAGCAGGTGCCTGGCGCTGGATCTTTTATCTCAATTTGCCCATCGTGGCTATCGGCTTCGCCGGCATCATTGCCTTTCTTAAACTCGAGAGTCGGAAACGCACTCTGAAACAAAAGCTTCGCGAAATCGACTACGTCGGCTCTGTCATCTTCCTCGGCTCATCAACATCTTTTCTCATAGCCATCACTTGGGGCGGCGTCATGTACGCCTGGTCAAGTTGGCACACCCTCGTTCCCATTATAATCGGCTTGTTCGGCCTCTCAGTCTTTGTCATTTGGGAAGCCAAGCTTGCGACCCACACGCTCCTCCCTCTCGGAATTTTCAAAAACAAAGACACCAACATCGCCTACTTCCTCACCTTCATCCACGGCATCATCCTATGGTCTATCCTCTATTACATGCCTCTCTTCTTCGAAGGCGCGCAAGATTTCACCCCAGTCCTTGCCGGCGTCTCTGCGCTCCCGCAATCTCTGACCGTCGTCCCTTGCGCCATGATCGTCGGCGTTGTCGCTGCCAAAACGGGTCACTACCGCTGGGCGCTCTGGGTCGGCTGGGTCTTGGCCACCATGGGCTCCGGCCTGCTCTACATCCTCTCCCCCTCGACGACCATCCCAGCCTGGGTCTTCCTCATGCTCGTCTCCGGCATCGGAATCGGCCTACTCTTCCCCGCCATGGCCCTCGCCATCCAAGCCTCCGCCCCGCCAAAAGACATCGCCATCGCTGCAGCCATGTTCACCTTCTTCCGCTGTTTCGGCCAAACCATCGGCGTCGCCATCGGTGGGGTCGTCTTCCAGAACCGCATGGCCGCAAATTTGGCGAGCTACCCTTCCCTATCAGGCTCTGCCACGTCGTACAGTGTCGACGTGGTGTCGCTGATCCGCCAAATCAACGCCATGCCGAACTCAGATCCGCGGAAAGCGATCCTCAGACTTGCCTTGTCGCATAGCATCCGCCCCATCTGGGCGCTCATGTGTGGATTGGCGGGTCTTGCCCTCTTCACTACGATCTTCATCAAGCATTACGACCTGAATCAAAAGCTAAGCACGGAGCAAGGCTTCGACGAGCAGAAGAACCAAAAGATCAAGGAAGCGGGCGGAGATCCTGAACTAGCCGCCGCCGACGCGCTACCTGGTGCTGTGGTCGGTGTTGAGAAGGATACAGGTGCGTTCAATCAGGATGTCTCGAACGATATTTCCAGTGCGGTCAGAACGGGTGAAACAGACGTCGCCGCCGACGACATAACCCCGGTTGAGACAGCGGAGTTGAAGAAATAGCCGATGGATCAGAAGGAGCAAGGATAGTCATCTAGCTTCGATTCCATGTCACTAGCATCTCATTTCCCTAAACCTCCGTCGTGTGTCGGGCATATCCTTTTTTTTTAATAATGCATCCAGAGCGTACACAGGCGTAAGAGATACTACTATAGACATGGATATCCCTCCATATATACCTCCAACGCTATCAATTCACTCAAACTTCAATTCGCGTCATGCCCAACACCGCCCCCACCCCAAAACGCACAACAAAGACGCGACACAAAGTATCCCCTTCCACCCCACCCACCCACCTACCTACCCATATACCCCACGTATGTAAAAAAGACAAGGACTCAGATCCAGCCCTCGGGTTTCCTTTCCAGCGTCTCCTCTCCTCCCCTTCTCTTCTCCCCCACCCCACCCCCCACCCAACCCCAACGATCCCCAACAACCCCAACAACCCAACACTCACAATCCCACAACACCATCCCCAAACCCCTACCCCCCAACCAACTCCAGCCAAAAACCCCATCCAGCCAACCCCATCCAGCCAACCGCAATCCCGACCCGTCGCACCACCGATCATCCAAAGCGGACACGGTCCCACGACGCAAGACTCCAAGTGATGTATATACGTAAGGGGTTTGATGCTTGTGGTGTGTGGTGGAGCGGAGTTCTAAGGGGAAAGAATCCCCTAGAAGAATTTAGGGACAGGAAAAGGGGAAACGAAAGGAAAGGAGCGGAAAGGAAAGGAAAAGAAAGGAAAGGAAAGGAAAGGGACCGAAAAAGAACAAAGGAAAAAGTTGAGCAAGTGAACAAGTGACCAAATAGCAATCGCAGCCAGCGCAAAAGCCTCCCTCATCCCGCGAGGCGGAAATTCGGGCGAGTTGGGGCAAACCACCGATTCGAGCCAGCTCATCCACCTGCATGCGAGCACGATCCATGCGGGGGGAAAGATATATATCGATACGGTACGTACGTATGTGTGTACGGGTGAAGGATATAGCGAGTAGAAGATATAAAACTCTTATGCTGAGGGAGATCGACGGTCGATGGATACTAGAAAATTCCATCCGAGTGGGTAGAGAGAGAGAGAGAAAGATAGAAAGAAAGGAGCGGGAAAATCAATGCATGAATGAATGGTTCAGACTCTCAGTCTAGATATCGTTTCTATATATTCCAGACGCCTATCTAATACCGACTCCCTTACAACAGATCCACGCAGAAGCAGCGATGAAGTCCCGACAGACACAAAAATTGGATCGATGAAACGAAACGGGCCAGTCTCGTGATGCACAGCACGGAGGGCCGGAATCGCTCCGTGCTGGAAGCGTATCAAGAGACCTCGCTAGCGCCAACGAGCAGATAGCCACAGTAGGTAAATACAAGGCGTTGGAGGCGCTTTGAAGGTGTAGGACGGTAATCCATCTATCGTCGGCAGCCTACTGTCTAGCCTGGAATTTCTCCTTCAACTTCGCCGCCGCCTGTTCGCCCAGATGGGTGATGCTGTTCGAATTCACCACCTCGAGGACCGTGAACTCGGCCCCGACCTTCTGCCGGAACCAGTTGCGCAACTCGATACTGACGAGCGAATCGACGCCTAAGCTCGCGAGCGGCACGTCCATGGAGGGTTCCTCGTCGCTGCGCATCATGAAGCCGAATAGCGTGGTGCCCGCCTCCTTGGCTAGGTATTCGATTGAAGGGGCGAGGTCCAGGAGTGCGGGGTTTTTGCTCGCGTCGCGGAGGAATTGCTTGAGGCCTTCATCGTTGCCGGAGGAAGCCGCGCTGGTGGCGCTGAGGGATTCGAGGTTGCGGTATACGGCCATACGCGGGTCTTTCTTCCAGATGGTGCGATTGTTTGGTGCGGAGAGAGGGAGTGTGGAGCGGACACCGATGGCGACCTGGCTTGGGTTGACGTAACGGGCCGTCTTCATTGGAGAAGATTGAGGGGCAGGAAGCGAGCGATCGATCATGAGTTGGAGGGAATCGAGGAGATCTTGCTCATGGAGCGTGTGTAGGGAGGTGGCGCGAAGTGCTTCGAGGATGCCGCTGTTTTGACTCAGGTATCCCACGTCCTCCATGGCACCGATGTCAAGGACTGACGCGGGAAGGCCAAGTGAGTGACGGTATTGTACAAAAGCATCGAGGAAGGTGTTGCCAGCTGCGTAGTTTGCTTGACCCCATTGCCCACCTACTCCGGAGACAGAGCTGAAGAGGAAGAAGAAATCGAGTGATTGCTTCTGCGCCAGTAGTGCTTCGTGCAGATTCCATGTGCCCTGTACTTTTGGCAGAAGAGCGGTTTGCCATTGTTCGAAGGTCATCTCACCCAATGCAGCGTCCTGGGAAGAAACGTCAGGTCAAAAGCAAATTGATAGCTACGAAAAGAATTACTCACACTGAGGACCATGGAAGCTTGGAGTACTCCAGCGATAGGTTTTGCAGCCGAGGAAATGACCCTTTTGACGTCTGACAGATTGGAAACACTACCAGAGAATGTCTGGACCGAACATCCAAGGGCCGCTAATTCCTTGATGTAAGGGTCCTCACTGGTCACAGAGCCGGCAGACCGTGAAAAGAAGATTAGATGTCTAGCGCCTTTCTCGACCATCCAGGATGCGATAGATCGACCCAGACCGCCAAGACCCCCAATGGACAGGTACGACACATCGGGACGAAGGACTAACTCTTTTGGATCTGCCGTTGCCTCCAGCTCCATGGGGTCTTTGGGGAAGGTGACGACAATTTTCCCGATATGTTGACCTTTTTGCATGTAACGCATGGCATCCTCGATGTGGGCAGCCTCGAATTCTTTCATGGGCGTGATAGGCTTGATGTAGCCCTGCTCATAAAACTCCATTGCCCGACGAAGAAGGCTATCAACTGTCAGCAACACACAGTAGAGCGATAGAAAGGGCGTAGCTTACTCATGTATAGCATTTGGCCGGTAAAAGCAAATCTGGGACAGATCAAGACCGATAAAAGATCGGTTGTTCTCGAATAGGTTCATTGCCAAATTTCCGTTTCCAATGAAGTCTCGTTTGCCAATTTCGACCATGGTTCCGAAGTCAGCAACACACTTCCACGATGAGTGTAGTAGTTCGCCGGAAAGTGAGTTAAGGACCACATTTACTCCTTTGCCGCCGGTTTCCCTAAGCACATCTCGCAAGAAGCTTGTGTCTCGCGAATTGAAGATGCGGTTCCGGGGTATACTAAAGTTTTGCATAAGGAAATCAACCTTTTCTTGGTTGCCCACAGTACAAAAGATCTGCAGGAAGCGGCGTTAGTACCTATTCGAGAGAATAGTGAAATCGGTCGCTTACTTCAGCTCCTATCATCTTTGCTATTTGAACAGCAGCTATACCAACGCCACCGCAAGCAGAGTGAATGAGGACAGTCTGGATAAGGTTTTAGCATGAACGATATCCCTATAATCAGCATGTGACATACCTGTCCTTTGGACAGCTTCGCGCAGTCCATCAAGCCAGCGATGACTGTACCGTAGACGAGAGGAATCGTAGCTGCTTCGACGAAGCTGAGGCTGTCTGACATCTTTGCGCAAAAGAGTTCGCTCATGGACCAAGTAGTCGAAAAGGATCCATCGGTGCAGCAGAGGACTCGATCGCCTACTTTGAGATGCTTGACCTCAGGCCCAACCCTCTTGACCTTAAAATGTGGTGTCAGCACTCCAGTCGCAAGATATGAGACCTTCGAGCCGTATGATATGATTCAAGAAGTATCTGAACATGGAAAGATGTTGCTCGGAAAGCACTTACAACTCCACAACTCTCACATCCGAGTCCACGACCCACCAGATCTACAATTCCCATTGACATCAAGACGTCCTTTGATTAAAGTCAGCTATTTCGTGTACACACACAAACTTACACAGAGCAAAGATGCACTGACCTTGAAGTTTAGTCCGACCGCCCGGGTTTCTATTTCGACAAAGTCGCCTTTCAAATCGAAGGGCTCTTGTTGTCTCCAAGCAAGTGTGTGCAAGATGCCCGGCCTACCAATCTCCAATTTCCTAGGATAAGAGTGGTGCTTCGCGGACAGGAGTTCTTTCGATACTGATACCCAATGGTATCTACCAACTTGGACACTTCCATCCGAGAAGGCATATTCGAGGACAGGATCATTGTCTTGGTCGCGAACGCGGTGCTGGAACTCTTGTAGGACATCGGCGGTAGCTTTGCATGCAGCTGCGTCATCAAAACTTTCTAGCTCGAGAGTGGCGAAATCCATCAAAAACTCCGTGCGAATTGTTCGAGCCATGCCGAGGATCAAGGAGTAGTTGGGGTCACGGCAACCGTTCTGGGCTGCTTCGGTCACCCAAAGTACTCCGGCGCCTTGAATATGAGAGACGAAGCTCTTAAAGGCGCTGAAACTCTCTTCTGTCGCAGAGTAGAGGAAAGGTGCTTCAGTGTCGAGGAGAGAAACAATATCTTGTCCGGGTTTGGGGACTTGATCCAACGTACAGAAATCTAGCTCAAAAGATCTCTCGCGAAGTTGCTGTATTATTCCTCGAGAATGCTGCGACGACTCGCCTCTGGACAAGATGGTGATCCGTTTTGACTTTTCCTCCCGGGCTGGCATGGCAATGATGTTGTTAAGAAGATGTCCATCATACGCAACTGCATCGACTCCTCCAAAGCCAGCGCTCTTGAGCTCCTTGTCCCACCTCTCAGGATTGACATATGGCTCTAGTGGTCGGTCATCGTCCTCACCAAGCCACCATCCAGGGAGAACGCCCATGACATAGTTGATCCACCTCGTCGAGGGGTCCAGTTCCTGGAGGAAGAGGCGACCGTGGGGATGAAGGAGCTTCCGCACATTCGACAGAGTTTCACTGAGCTTTGGGGTGGCGTGGAGGACGTTGGTCGCCACGATTAGATCGAAGGACTCGGGTTCGAACCCCTGCTGGATTGGGTCCTGTGAAACGTCCAAGATGGCGTAGTCAAGTCCTTGGACATCTTTGAAACGCTCTTTTGCTGCCACAAAAAAACCGGCGGAAATAT